ATTCCTATGGTTTTGAGGGAACTGGAGAGTTGCATTCATCACTGATGTTTTTAAAATATCTACATATATTTGCCCATAATAAAACCAACTAATCTAAACAAATATGGTAACAGTTGTAAAGTAATTGGTAGTTACAGTACTTTAGTTAAACCAAAGGTAGTGATATTCTGATGTAATGAAGTCCTCAATAGTGCTGGCTTAATGATGCAAGCCTTTAAAACCAAACAAACCTGTCTTTGTCATCTCGAGGCAGTAGGCTTCCTGTTCACCATCCTCCACTTGTGCAGGAGTGACCGCTTCTTGTCAGTCAGTGAATCTTTATGAATACAACTCTTTCACCACATTTTTGGAAATCTGAGGCCTGAAATTCCACCTAGTCTTAACCTGAGAATTGTGGAGAGTATCCTCTGCAGCCGCTAATGGCTGGTCTGCTCGCCGGGGTTCTTGGTGAAGAGTGCAGCATTGTGGTGCAATGGGCAGGTGGTGTATTTGGTGGCACTGCCCTGTTCTGCTCATTCCTTTCCCCACATCGAGGCGATGTCGTGTCCTGTGATGGCATCGGTCCTGAATCTCCAGGTCGGTGTTGCTATGGAAATAGAATGTTGACAATCTACATTGTAGATTCAAAGTGGTTTCTTGACTCAGTAACTTGGTTGGAAGGTTCAAATGTGGTAATGTATAAATCATTGCTTTATGTAAAAAATAAATACCCACTCAAAAATAAATACCTGTACTTTATGAATGAATTGTCATTCTTTTCCATTAAAGTGTCTGATTATTTTGTGAGTATCCTTATTTTTTAGTTTTCCTCATATTATTATCCATCATCACAATAAGCAACTAATCTTATTGTTTATAAAACGAGGTAGTTTAGCTGCAATATTTGGTTATAGGCAGGAAGAAAGTTATTGTAAGCTTCCCCTTACAGTGACAGTCTGCTTCCTGAAGTTAAATATACATTTACATCGGTATTTTTGTACTGTGAGGCTCCCCAGTTTAGGAGATAAGATTCTGTTGTAAACTGCACTGTAATATTGTGCCTCATGCATCATAATGTTGTTTATATGTATGTGCGTTCACAGATAGTTGGGAATGGAAGTGAACAACAGCTACAGAAGGAACTGGCGGATGTACTGATGGATTCATCAATGGACACTCAACATGGCACAAGGAAGCTTCAGAAGCAATGCCATCTTCTGCTACAAGCGATGAATCATTAAACTGAGGACTTGACTCCATCACCTGTTTATTCAGGATTGATGGTAGTGCCGCAGAAACCCGAGATGAGTCTACCAATTCAATCAACACAGGAAGGTAAGACATGTAATCTGCTAATCAGGCAACGCTCCCCAACTTAGTCAAAAAGAGCCTTTTTTTGGTATCTTTGGGGGAAAAAACATTTTTCCTTACTGTTACATTTTCAGCTTATCTAATACTGTAAGAAAGTCTCTTGATGTTGCCTTTAGAAATCTTGTAAAATGCTGTATAATTCACAACAACAATATTTGTATATTTTCGATTGCGTATACATGTGTTCTGTAGGCATCGCTTGTAACCACCATATTACAGTGTACCTTGTGTCTATTACAGAATATCTTAGGTATATTACAGTGTACCCTGTGTATACTACAGTGTACCCTGTGTATTAAATGTATCTTAGGTATATTACAGTGTACCCTGTGTATATTACAGTGTACCCTGTGTATATTACAGTGTACCCTGTGTATATTACAGTGTTCCTTGTGTATATTACAGTGTACCCTGTGTATATTAAATGTATCTTAGGTATATTACAGTGTACCCTGTGTATACTACAGTGTACCCTGTGTATATTAAATGTATCTTAGGTATATTACAGTGTACCCTGTGTATATTACAGTGTACCCTGTGTATATTACAGTGTACCCTGTGTATATTACAGTGTACCCTGTGTATATTACAGTGTACCCTGTGTATATTACAGTGTTCCTTGTGTATATTAATAATAATAATAATCCTTGCATTTGATATAGCGCTTTTCACGTTGGGAGGACGTCCAAAGCGCTTCACAGAACACACTGTAAAGTGAATTGACTGTATATTTGTGGGCGAACGCGGCAGCCAATTGCGCACAGCAATGTCCCACAAACAGTCGTAGATTGAAAATGACCAATTTATTATTGTTTTTGGTTTTGGAGGATTATTATTAGGCTCTGTGTGGAGTAAGGAAACTTGCCCAAGGTTTCGCCCTCTGCCTGGAATTGAACTCAGGTCTCTCACTTGCAAAGCGAGTGCTCTAACCACTGAGCTACAGGACTCCACGAGTTACAGTGTATCTTGTGTATATTACAGTGCACCCAGTGTATGTTGCAGTGCACCCTGTATATACTGCAGTGCACCCTGTGTGATAATAATAATTATTAATTATTAACACCTTGTGTGATAATAATAATAATGAGACGTCCCCCTGGTGTGAAAGGCGCTATACAAATGTAATCTTGTTGTTGTTTAGTACTACTACTAATAATCCTTGCAATTGATATAGCACCTTATCACGTCTTCGAGACGACTCAAAGTGCTTCACAGAATATAAGCCAATTGCGCACAGAAGTGTCCCACAAACAGTCGTGTATTGAAGTGACCAATTTATTCTTCTTAATTTTTTGAAGGGATTATTACCCCAGAAAAATGATCCACCAATTGACTAACAACCAGGTTCCTACTTACTGCTAGGTAAACAGAGGCGTGTGGAGTAAGGAAACTTGCCCAACATTTCGCACTGCCGAGAACCCAGGTCTCTCTCTTGCGAAGAGAGTGCCCTAATCACTGAGCTACAGGACTCCACAAATGGGCGAATCAGAAATATTAGTGTTTTAGATTTGTGTTTTTATTAAACCTTTGCAATGGGGTTTTAAACTCTTCTTGCATGAAGTTTGAATAAGAGATGTTTTGTATATTTTATTAAAAGGTAGCATTTTGTTGGACTAACGTATCCTGTAACTAACTGTAGCTCAGTGATTAGAGCACTCGCTTTGCAAGTGAGAGACCTGAGTTCAATTCCAGGCAGAGGGTGAAACCGGGCAAGTTTCCTTACTCCACACAGAGCCTAATAATAATCCCTCCAAAACAAAAAACAATAATAAATTGGTCATTTTCAATCTACGACTGTTTGTGGGACATTGCTGTGCGCAATTGGCTGCCGCGTTCGCCCACAAATATACAGTCAATTCACTTTACAGTGTCTTCTGTGAAGCGCTTTGGGACGTCCTCCCAACGTGAAAAGCGCTATATCAAATGCAAGGATTATTATTATTATTATTATCCTGTTTATAGGAATAAACACACTGCTTGCTGTTCACTATTTTACAGTAAATTAGTAGTGAATATGCGACTCCCTAATGCGGTCTTGTGTTCAATTTAGTGGATTCTCCAGAATCAAGTCTCTCCACACCTGTCCCTGATGAGGACAGCGTCTTGTTTAGCAAACTCACATACTTGGGCTGTGCTTCAGTCAATGCTCCTCGGAGTGAGGTGGAGGCTCTGCGGATGATGTCTATTCTGCGGAGTCAGTGCCAAGTCCCATTAGACGTGACTCTGTCGGTGCCTAACGTTTCAGAAGGAATTGTGAGGTGAGGATTGCCAGATGGCTTATTGTGATTAATTAATGTATGTAAAAACAGGTAGGATCTGATCGGGTAAATTCATTTTTTGTGCCGCAAGAAAAGGAGGGTTAATTCCTAACAATTTTTAAGTACATCATTTTTGACTTGTTTTTCTTTCCCCGCAGCTGGCTGTGGGATTTGTTTGGCTTTTCCATACCCACTAAATATTGGAATTGATTACAAATCCAATCAGAAGTGGATTGAGATTGAGCCAGCAGTGTGTTAGGCTGCTCACATTACACTGCCCTGTTCCTGTGTGCTGTGGCTGGAAACTGACTAACCTTTTCCTAGTTGTGTCAATAAACAGGCAGCTTCAGGCCTTAACTCGTAATTATCTGACTGGGCAACCATTGCTGAAAATACCAATTTCATTCAAGCAAAAAGTTTTGATATCAATATTTTCACAAAGTCAGTCATGGTTTGTGTGAACTATTATTCTTATGGTATGAAAATTCACCTTGTTAGCATTTCATTTCTGGCCAAGTTTCTTTTATGCATTCCAGTCCACTCAGCAGTCTCAGTAATTTGCCTAAGTGTTTAAGAAAGTACTAATGTTTTGAGACTGAGGAAGGAAATTCCTTATTTTTGATCTTCTTACTCTCACAACAACCTTGCGTTCATTGCTCATAGCTCATTGAACCGCTCTATAATTGTGTAACGTGTCAATTTGCAAATGTTTAAAACAGTGGTCGCCCATGGGGACAGTGGTCGCCCATGGGGACAGTGGTCGCCCGTGGGGACAGTGGTCGCCCGTGGGGACAGTGGTCGCCCGTGGGGACAGTGGTTGCCCGTGGGGACAGTGGTCGCCCGTGGGGACAGTGGTCGCCCGTGAGGACAGTGGTCGCCCGTGGGACAGTGGTCGCCCGTGGGGACAGTGGTTGCCCGTGGGGACAGTGGTCGCCCGTGGGGACAGTGGTCGCCTGTGTCATGGCTGAGTGGATATATGGTGGTATACACCAGGGAAGTCCCTGGTCTGTGTTGGATCATCTGATCTCAAACAGTGCAGTTTGTGAGGAGGGGAAAGAAGAAGTGTGTGGATGCGGAGGGTCCTGCAATTGGCCTCGACGTCTCTGGCTGGGGAGATTGAGCCTTATTTGCAGCTTCTGATCACTCTCTGTTAACCCATGCTGGGCCTCTACTGCTTATTGTTTATCAGTCATAGAAAACAGGAGGAGGCCATTCAGCCCCTCAAGCCTGTTCTGTCATTCTATAACTTCATGGCTGATCTGTACCTCAACTCCAATTTCCCGACCTTGTCCCATATCCCTTGATACCCCGACCTGACAAACATCTATCCACCTCAGTCTTGGAAATGTGTATAGATCCAACATCCACAGCCTTCTGCGGGAGAGAGTTCCAGATTTCCACTACCCTTCAGGTGAAAAACTGCCTCTTGATTTCACTCCTAAATGGCCTAGCTCTAATTTTTAGATGATGCCCCTTGTTCTGGATTCTTTACCAGAGGAAATAGTTTCTCTGTAGCTGCCCCTATCAAATCCCTTTTATTATTTTAAAAACTCAATCAGATCACCCCTCAACCTTCTAAACTCAACGGAATAGAGACCAAGTTTATGCAACCTGTCCTTGTAATTTACAGTCAATTTGGGTTGCTAGTACCTGAGACTTCAGGATGGGTTTGTGGTTCCCTAGTTAGCACTGTGGTGAACACTGGGTTTAATGTCATATTTATACAGTATATTTAAAAGAAAGTATGAGGATAAATGTACTTTTTTTTAGACATTTTTGTTACTAAAATGTTTTAGAGAATTAACTTCTGTATTTTCTTTGCAGGCTAATAGATCCACAAATCAACACTGAGATTTCAAACTGTCCAATCTACAAGATCCTGTTTTGTGTGAGGGGACATGATGGCACTCCTGAGAGTGACTGTTTTGCGTTTACTGAAAGCCACTATAATGCCGAAATTTTCAGAATTCATGTCTTTCGATGTGAAATACAAGAGGCAGTAAGTTGCTTTGGTCTTTCTCCTGTATGAAACATTGCACTTGTTTAAGATCAGAAGCTGTATTTCCTAATGTTTACGTTATCTTAAATTTATGATTTTTTTGGGGGGTAGTAGTGGAGGAGTAGAGCGATGAATTCACTATCTCTAGATCTAAGGTGACTTTCTTGGTAATGGGCGAGATCACATTCCATAGTGAACGCTGGTTGTGCATTTATTCAACTGCCAAGCCAGGTTCTTTTGTGTCCCCAGCTCTGGGACGCTACCCTGCATGAGGGGCGCTATATAAATGCAAGTTTGTTGTGCTTGTCATTGTTCACAAGTAGATGGCTCATTATTGTCTGAAAATTGGATGTTATAAATTTTTAGATGCCGAAGCCTTTGGATCTACTGTTGAGAAATGAATAATAATAATAATAATAATCCTTGCATTTGATATAGCGCTTTTCACGTCGGGAGGACGTCCCAAAGCGCTTTACAGAACACACTGTAAAGTGAATTGACTGTATATTTGTGGGCGAACGCGGCAGCCAATTGCGCACAGCAATGTCCCACAAACAGTCGTAGATTGAAAATGACCAATTTATTATTTTTTTTTGGTTTTGGAGGGATTATTATTAGGCTCTGTGTGGAGTAAGGAAACTTGCCCAAGGTTTCGCCCTCTGCCTGGAATTGAACCCAGGTCTCTCACTTGCAAAGCGAGTGCTCTAACCACTGAGCTACAGGACTCCACAAATGTGTTTTTGGAACAGAATCAGACTGAGTATCGCTCATTCTCTCCGAGACTCTTAATTAATTTAAGACTTGTGTAATTTTTTTCCAATCTGCTTTTAGGTCAGTCGTATACTGTACAGCTTCGCTACAGCTTTCCGGCGGTCAGCAAAGCAGACCCCACTCTCAGCAAATCCACCAACACTAACTCCGGACAGTGACGTATTCATGTTCACAGTTTCTTTGGAGATTAAAGAAGATGACGGGAAGGGATATTTCAGGTGCGCATACCATTGGCTGCTTTGACTAATTAGCTCTGATTTAAAGGAAGGTGGTGGGAGAAATAGTCCGAGCTTTCAGTTTATTGAAATAATTCTTGCATTTGATGCAGTGCCTTTTCATGTCAGCAGAGGTCGTCTCAAAGCGCTTCACAGGATTTACTGTGAAGTGTATTTTGTAGGTAATCCAGTAGCCAATTTTCATACAGCAATGTCCACAAACAGCCATGAAGTGAGTCAGCAGTTTTATCTTGGGGGCTTGTTGGCCAGGACACTGGGAGGGAGATTTGCTTCTCTTTTCCAACAGCGTTGGGATCTTTAACATACACCTGAACAGGCAGATGGGAGCTCGGTTTAACATTTCATCCGAAGAGCGACACCTCCACCTAGCACACCCCCAGCACTGCTCTGCCATGTCAGCCTAGACTCAGTTCACTGTGGTGCTTTACCTCACAACCTTTTGACTTGGAGGTGAGAGCGCTAGCAACTGAGCCTATTATTTTTTAGCACTGACGGCATCCAGCTCAAGAATGGTGTTTGGGTGCAGTGATGAGTGCCTTTGCCTTAAATTGCTCCAGCAATTGAGGATGAGGAATTTTCACTGCAGCGTCAGGTGGGCTCTGTTACAGGTGTCCTTTCTTGAAGATCTAAATTCAGCTGCATGCTGCAAATTTTAATCTCCCCGATTTGAATTTTTTTAAAAAAAAGATTTTTTTTTACAGTGGCACGTTTGCGGAATGTGATCCTGAGGGAAGCTTTCTGGTTAACGCTGTGGGAGCTTTGCATTATCTGCAGTGTGGTATTCAGATGAGACTTTGCTCTCGGTCCCATCTGCATGTTGATATGGATGTTAAAAGATCCCATGGCACGATTGAAAAAGAGAAGGGAGATTTCTGCTGCAGCAAGTAGTTGCTGTGGTTTGCTTACAAACGGAGTCCCTAAACATAATGGTAATTACGAGGAGTGTGTAGTGCTTCGAAGTACAGCGACGTGATGAAGTGCCTTAAAAATGTGTACTCTGAAAATTCAGGTTTATTCCTGCATTGGAGCAGAAAGCTGTGTGCTGTTAATGCAATAGCAGAAATACAATTGACCACGAGGGGGCACTTTAGGTAGTGAAGTTGCATACGACAAGCATCGATGGACTATTGAGAATAATTTCAAACACAATTTGCTTGACAGGAAATTTTGCGACTTCTAAATTTGTGCGAGATTAAAGGTAATGGATCTTGCATCATTATTCATCACATTATATATAATGTTCAGAAAATTATCCCGCACACTGAAAATCACAATCGTGTCAAGTTAGATTTTTGCTTTAATTTTGCAGGCACATTACTCTGGGACCTGCTTTAAAGGTTTCATTCCTTTTCCTGATGATTTGGAGAATAATGGTACCAGGGATTGATATCCAAACTAATGGTCCATCGGCAGATTTGGCTTCACCACACCAAGATCTACCGCTACGCTCTTGCCTCCGCCAAATCCTCCTTCTACTCCAAGGTTATCTTGGAGGCAAAGGACAACCCCCGCGCTTCTCTCTTCCACCACAAACCATCTCCTCCGTCCACCTTCCCACTGCCACGCTCATCCTCTCCTCAAACTCCAACTCTGAGGAGATGCTGGACTTCCTCGAATCCAAAATAGAGGGGATACGTTCAGCCACCTCAGCCCCGTCCACATTACCTCTCCCTCATGACTCACCCCCCCATCCATCACCCCTATACTCTTCAAACCAATTTCTCCCTCCTCACCACCACGATTGTCTGCAAACTCAAAACCCACCACCTGCTCCTCGATCCTATCCCCACCTCTCTCCTCATCTCCCAGCTGCACATTCTGGTCCCCTCCTGTCCGATGTCATCAACCTCTCCCTGTCAACCGGTTCAGTTCCCACCCCCTAAAAACAGCCGTCATCATCCCCTTCCTGAAAAAATCTTCCCTGGATCCATCCCTTCTCTCCAGCTACTGCCCCATCTCTAACCTCCCATTCCTCTCCAAGGTCCTGGAACGAGTCATCGCGTCCCAGCTCCACTCCTTTCTCTCTCACCATTCCCTCTTTGAACCCCTCCAATCCGGCTTCCCACTGCCCACAGCACGGAAACAGCCCTGGTCAAAGTCACTATGACATTCTGAACATCTGATCAGGGCTCCCTCTGCCTCCTTGTCCTCGACCTCTCTGCCGCCTTCAACACTGTCGCCACTCCATCCTCATACACCGCCTCTCCGCTTTACTCAATCTTCTACCCTTGCCTGGTTCGATTCCTATCTCTCACTGTCTCCACTTTGTTGCCTCTAACGGTTTCTCCTCCAGCCCCCGCACTGTACATCTGGCGTCCTCCAGGGCTCTGTCCTTGGCCCTCTCCTCTTTAATATCTATATGCTCCCCCTTGGTGACATCATCCGCAGACGTGGGGTCAACTTCCACATGTATGCGATGACACCCAACTCTATCTTTCTGCCTCCACCCTCGACTCCAGGACCCACTACTGTCCTGACAGACTGTCTGTCGGACATATCAAGTCCTGGATGAGGGCAAATCACTCCGCCTCGCCCCCTCTTTAGCCTCCTTCAAGTCCTGCCTCAAGACCCTCTTCTTCGACCAGGCCATCGGCCACCCCCCTTCCCCTCCTTCCCCCCCCTGACCCCAGCTCGGGTCTGAAATGCTGTCACTGTCCAGCGCCTTGGGACGTCCTCCCGACGTGAAAGGCGCTATACACATGTACTTTTGTTGTTGTTGTTGATAAGAGTGGTGATCACATTGAAGGCTTCATTTAGTGAAAATGTCATAATAAAGGTCTAGATTGATAGTGTCATCTGAATAGCTTAATAGAGTTACTGCCCGCAGTTGCTCTGGTTTGTGTGGTTTACATTGTCAACTTTTTTTCCCATGGAGTTTCATTTCACTGTCACTCAGTGCATCAATGCAGAGACTGTAGTAGTCTCCAACATGCTTTAAGCCACTCGTGTTTTGACTATTTTCAGCAAAAGAGATTAATAAATAATAATAATCCTGGCGGTTGATATAGCACCTTATCACGTCGTTGAGAGGTCTCAAAAGCGCTTCACAGAATATACTGTAAAGTGTAGTGACTGTGTATTTTTGTGGGCAAAATAATTAGTGTTTATTGCATGATTGATGTAAGTTTATTGAGTAACATTGAATTGTTGTTTAGCAGTAACACACTCAATATTTATATTTTTCTCATTAAAAAGATGGGTTTTAAAGTTAAATTCCTTTTCAACATCATTCAAAGTAATAGCGTTACTGTTGATGTTCATTTTCTGTAGAGGGAAATTTTGCCTTTGAAATGTTATGAAGGGTCGTGATGCTGTGATTAAGAGCAGCACTGTAATGTTACACTCTGATGGAAAAATGCAGCTTTCTGTACACTTTCAATAAGATTTTTTCGCACATCTTGTAATATAACGTTAAAGCTTGTTTATGTTGATGACTGTAATTGAAGTGAGCTCTTGACCAGCAGATTGGCTGGCATCCAGCGAACGATAAGGATAATAGGTTTCTCCATGCTGTTTTATGTCCATTTCCACAACCTTTGAGGCTGACTGTAGAATGGAACATTGACCATTGTTTTGTAAGCAGTTATATTGGCTGCCGCGTTCGCCCACAAATATACAGTCAATTCACTTTACAGTGTGTTCAGTGAAGCGCTTTGGGACGTCCTCCCGACGTGAAAAGCGCTATATCAAATGCAAGGATTATTATTATTATTTGCTTAAACACAGGCAATGCAGTTACAGTCACAAAAAGTGGCTCTTCCTTGACCTCAGCAGAGCATTCCCCACTATGCTAGTGTAGCTTTTCTGCTCATACATTGCCAACTTTGTGGCCTTCTTATGACACTGGTCACTGGGTTGATTTATGTCAATGTTCTTTGAGCTGCAATTATTAGTCACTGGGAATGTAGATTGAGTACTTCAGGCTAGTGAGTGCTGTCACATTTCCCTGTAATATTGTCAAAAATAAGCTAATGTGTTTTGGTTTTTCTTTACAGTGCAGTCCCCAAGATAAAGATAAGCAATGCTTCAAGCTCCGTCAAGGAGTTGACAAGAAGATTGTGATCTACGTGCAGCAAACTTCCAACAAGGAACTTATTATTGAAAGGTACCAGATTGCACTCGGCTTTTCCAACGTAAATAATGTTCAAGAACACTTGAGTTATTGCTCAGATCTTCTAATTAACTAGAAGGGACCATTTTGCATATGTTGACTTGCCCTTTGCTTTACATTTCACAGTAACACTATGAGGTGTTTTGTGTACATTTTTGTGATGCTGAAAATAGGTTTCATGATACTGTGGGCAAAAATATCTGTACTCCCGAAACCCAGAAGAGCAAATTTGAACTTGTCTGCTTCTCTAATCTCCCACTACCCCAACCGAGAAGGTTCCTTGCAACTTAATAATTTGAGTAATTTTAATTCAGTCTTGTGTCGAAGATCACTTTGTACTTTTGGATTTGGTGCTACATGATTGGACTGGTCTCCTTTCATTCTTTCCTTTCCTGGGGGGAGTGGGGGGGAGCAGAAGGGTGGGAGCGGAGGGGCGGAGGGGAGGATGGGGGGAGCTGAGCTGCCTAACGCTCACTTTACTCAGTGGTGCTGAGAGTGATGGTGCTGATGATTTTTTCCCATCATTCTGACCCAAGAGAAATTTCAGCTTTAAATGCTTATTTTGGTTAAAGGAAAACAAACATACGGGAATATATTTTTCTGAAATATTTACACTAAACCCCGGCTGGCTGGACTAACGGGTGGGAAATCCGGTTTTGTGAGTTGGAATTTACGAAGCCGGTATCCGCAGTGACCGGCTATTTTTTTGCTGGTTTTCTCAGTGTTGATAAATGGCAGGACCACATTGTAATTGATTGAAACCGCGTCAAAGTGGATCTCTCTGACCCCTGAAGGGCAGTTAGGCAAGAGTTAATGTTTCCGTTTCAGGCCCAGTCCGGTGAAGTCTGAATTCCGGATACCCGGACTCCAGTAAGCCCGGGATTTACTCTATATTGATGTCTCATTCCCTTATGCATGGGTTTTGTGATTTATATAATTATAGCTATTTTCTTGATTGAAATAGTTTTCAGTTGGCTGTAAACCCATTTTGTATGGTGATTTTTATTCAGAAGGTAATTGGCTGAAAATGTTGTAATAATTCTGCTTCAATGTTATGTCCTTTGTTGATTCACCAATTATTTGTATTCATTTCTGAAAATGTACCTTTTCCAGCCAAATTTGCCAGTTAAAATGTCGTGTAATATAGCACAACACATCGTAAAATAAGTTTGTCAGTGGTGCTGTTTATTTTGACTAATTTAATGGTTTTAGATATGGCTGTAATACATATCCTGTGGTAAGTTCTCAATTATTTTATTTGAAATGTGCACTGGGTGTGGAGAGTATCACATGCCCTCTATAAGTATTAGCTGTGTAAAATGTGCTTCATTGTGGGCTTGTTTTGATCAATAATCTGCCTTTTCACTAGGTGCTTCGGACTCCTTCTCAGTCCTGGCAAAGGTGTTCGCAACAGTGACATGCACCTTTTAGATCTGGTAATGTGGCTTTTAAAACTAAAACCTTCCAGCCTTTCACTCTGCATGAACATCAATGTAAATCAAAGTTATTCTTTTGACAGATATTTTATTGACAGTAATCTGCTGTCCAACTCATTTTTGAAATTGTTGTCAAACTAGACGAAAGCACAGTAATGGGACTATTCTTTAACGGTGGGTTTTTCCCCCTCCATCCTCATGAAAAATACAAGTTGCTCTAGGTACCTTACCCCAGTAGCCATTGTGAGCGTGGCCAACAGTCTGATGGTGGGTGGAGTGGGAGAGAGAGAGGACCAATGTTTGACCGGTGGGTGAAGGGAAGAGAGAGAGAGGAGGCCTCTAGGCAGTGGGTCCCCATCAGGAGTGGGAACTCTGCCTGGTTTTGTTGTGCTCCCTTTTTCTCCATTGAAATGGAATCTCTAACCTTCTGATCTGTGTGGTTTTGTGCTGCAACAGGTGGTGTCTTTATCCCCCCAGCCAGCCTGACTGCAGACAGGAGGTTTAATAGAAAGAGTACATCCACTGTTGGGATTGTTTTTATATATTGCAGGTTTATGTGTAATGAGGAGCAAATGTTATGACCTGCTATTTTACTCTGTGATTGATGATCCTGCCTGTCTGGGAATGCTAATTTGGCACCTTCAGTAATTTTAAAACACTACTTGAATGATTTGTAGTGTTTGAAACACTGACTGTCCAGCGCGTTGGGATGTCCTCCCGACGTGAAAGGCGCTATACAAATGTAATTTTGTTGTTGTTGTTGGTGTTTGGATTATTGCACTGAGCTGAACAAGCAAGGGTTCCAGGTTTCCTCCCTACTCTGTTTAGTTAGCTGTCTTAGCCAGGGCAGTGTTGAGGCATTTTAAATTGGCTTTTAAGTGTCTGGGTTAGCACACTTGTCAATACAATACAAAATTACATTTGTAAAGAGCATTTTCACGTCGGGAGAACGTCCCAAGGATCTGAACAGTCAGGGATGAGGACCCGAGTGGGAGGGGGGGTGGAGGGATGGGATCGGGGAGGGTGGGGGTAGGAAGGTGGCCGAAGGCACGGTCGAATAGGAGGTTCTTGACATTCTGTGGGCACCACGGAAAGCCGATTGTAGGGGTTCATAAAGGGAGTGGTAGGAGAGGAAGGAGCGAAGCTGGGAAGCAACAACTCTTTCAAAGACTTTGGAAAGGAAAGGGAGGTTGGAGATGGGGCAGTAATTGGTGACTACCCATCCCTAGAGTCAGAAAGCTTGTGGATAATTTGCCCACCATTTCTCGTCAGTTGAATGGATCTATTTCTTTATTGTAGGAGTCGATGGGTAAGAGCTCAGATGGCAAATCCTATGTAATCGCTGGGAGCTGGAATCCCAATACACCACACTTTCAAGCTGTGAATGAAGAAACGCCTAAAGGTAAGAAAAGTTGTATTTTGAAGTTGCAATAGGAATTCTTATGATTAAATAATCTGCTTCCAAGGCAGGGCTGATCTGTACATTGTGTTGGAGTTGTATGACAAGAAGGAAAACTTAGAGCTGTCCTCATATCTCACCTCCAGCAATAAGTTGAGGTTCACTGTTAATGCTGTGCCTCAAACTGCTCATAACATGCTCTTCAACCTCAAAGGCCAAAGTGAAGATGTAAATTGGAGTTTTTCTTTGTTCATTTTGGTGTTCTTTGTGCAATTCTGATTGTATAATAATCATTGTCAGGAAATTACTGCGCTTTTCAGTAGGTCGGCAATCAAGATGAATTTTATTTGAAAAGTTTTCACAATTATCAGGTGTTTTGTCGGAAGGTTCAATGGTTCGGTAACGGCAAATATCAGGGAGGAACGTAGCAATTCAAAGGGTGGTCGGAATTGGGTGGGACAAGGCCTTGGTGGGATTTGATCCTGAGAGAGATCTTAAACTTGATCTGTCAGGTGGTGGGGAGACCATGGTTTGACATGATGAGGATAGCAATGTATTGGAATTCTGATTCACATAAAACAACAACCTATACCCTTCACACACAGCCCCCCCGCCCCCCCTCCCTCACATACACAGGGACCACCCCCCCCTCAAACATACAGGGCCCCCCACCTCATACACAGGGCCCCCCCCTCACACACAGCCCCCCCCCCCAACACACAGCCCCCACCCCAACCCCACACGCACAGGGCCCCCACCCCCACACACAGGGCCCCCCCCCAACACACACAGCCCCCACCCCCACACACAGGGCCCCCCACCTCACACACACAGCCCACCCCCCCCCAACACACACAGCCCCCACCCCCACACACACAGGGCCCCCACCTCACACACACAGCCCGCCCCCCCCACACACACAGGGCCCTGCCCCCCCCCCCCACACAAACAGGGCAGCCCCTCACACAGGGCTGCGTCCCAGAGCTTGAGTGGGAGGACAGTCCAAAGCACAGGCTGCTTATATCTGGAGGTTAAAGCATTTCACTCTGCTCTGCAGGACAGTCTCTGTGTGAACTATAATACTTTGCCTTCTCCCTGCTTGTACCACAGACAAGTTGCTTTATATGACAACTGCTGTTGATTTGGTTGTTACCGAAGTCCAAGAGCCAGTGCGCTTTCTCCTGGAGACGAAAGTCCGTGTTTTCTCGCCCAGCGAGAGGATGTTTTGGCCATTCAGTAAACGAAGCTATACCGAGACGTTCTACTTGAAGCTAAAACAGGTAAAACATCGGCAGGTCAGATGATGCCAGCAAGCTCAGTGTGTTACCCCCCCATCTCTTGTGGGATTTTGAAGCTGAGAATCAAGATTTCTTTTCTCTCAAAGTTGTCTCAACACTTTACAGAACTGAGAAAATTGTGTGTGTTTTTTCTCGAATAATAATAATCCTTGCATTTGCGTTCTTAGAGACGTCTCAAAGCGCTTCACAGAATGTACTGTACAGTGAATTGACTGTTTATTTTTGTGGGTGAAATGTCGCAGCTAATTGCGCACAGCAGTGTTCCACAAACAGTTGTGGATTGAAATGATTATTATTTTTTTAAAAAAATTCCTTGAGGGATTATCATCAGGCGTGTGGAGTAAGGAAACTTGGCCAAGGTTTTGCCCTGCCGGGAATCGAACCCAGGTCTCTCACTTGCGAGGCGAGTGCTATAACCACTGAGCTACAGCATGGAATCCATTTCATATCACCCTCAAGTGGAAGAGGTTAGATATTGGATGTTTTAATCTTGAAATTATTTCTTACAGATAGAACGGAAAGAACGAAAGAGCAACAGTGACACGCTGTATGAGGTTGTGAGTTTAGAAAGTGAGACAGAGCGGGAGACGAGAAAAACCACAGTCACCCCCTCCATGCGGCCACTTCATTACGGATCTCAGGGTTCAATCATCCCCTCACCCCCCGAGGATGATGAAGAGGAAGGTGAGTTTACTGGTCAATAATTCCTAACGTTCCTTTTCTTCATTAGTTATAATGGTTGGCTTAGATTCGCAGTGAATGCTTTTCTGGCTTTTAAAATTTAGCTCCTTGATTTACTTCTTGTTGGAACACCAACAATCCCGTTTGGTGGACAGAGAGAACAGATTTAATCAGCCCCCCCCCCCCACACCAACTACACCTCCCCGTTGCGCCCCCCAACCCCCCAAGCCCAGGCACGCACCAGCCATCTCTCCCCACCCCCACTCAGCCCAGCTCCCCCCCAGCCCCCCCTCAGCCCAGCCCTCCCCCAGCCAGCCCCCCCACTCAGCCCAGCCCCCGCCAGCCAGCGCCCACAGCCAGCCCCACCCCTCAGCCCAGCCCCAACACCAGCCAGCCCCCCCCCCCCACCCACCCAGGGGGCTGCCCCCAGCTGGAAAGCTCTCCCCCCCAGCCAGGAGTGTTGTGATATTTAGTGTTATCGTCTATTAATAATAATCATAGTAGAATATTGCTAGAAGTAGAATGAGTTTTGCCTGTTTCTCAGTGTGTTGCTCTCAACCTTGGGCAGATGAATGAAGTTGAGCGTTTCTCTGCACAGATAATGATGAGCCTCTCCTGAGCGGTTCTGGTGACGTGTCTAAAGAATGTGGGGAAAAGATTTTGGAGACCTGGGGAGATCTGTTGTCAAAGTGGTAAGTGGGAATTACCCCAACCATGAGGGCTTTTTACTCTGGAGACAGCATTTTATTGATTGATTTCACCTTGTACAAATACACCATTCCCCAACAAGCCAACATTTCCACCAATTATTTTCATTGTGTGCAAGGCAAGAAATGCAATTGACTTGTGTCCTGGTCATTTCCGTGTTTGCCAAACACCACTATATTTGTCAACCACTTTGAGACTCTTTTAAGTAAAAGATGTTACATAAATGTAAGTTGGCATTCCCAAAGAAATGCTTCTTTTAATTCCATCACCTTTCACGTGAAGCAGTTCCTTGTTCAAAAGAACTTAGCGGGCATTCACTTGCTGCACTTAAATGATAAATCCTTAAAGAGGATTAGACACCTGTCATACATTATTCAATAAGAGCAGAGAGTTTCTGCTGGTGTCTCAGTCAGCAATAAATTGTTTATTCACTTCATGGCTGTTCATGGAAGCTTTCTGTGAGCAAATTGGCTGTGGCATTTGCCTACAAATAGTCACTACATTTGCTAGCAATTACACATGTTTGGAGATGGTTTGGCATTGTAGGTTCCATATCAGATACAAGGATTAATATAATAGATCATCTTTGTCCACAACTCAGGCTGTACCTATTTGCCCGTAGAGTGCTGACTGGTCACCCCGCACTGACTTTACTTTCCTCTAAAGGACGGTTCCATTGGGCAGTGGGGGAAAGTGCTGGCCCTCTGTAAACGCTCCCTGTCTGTGACTTGTAAAATGTATGCTGCTCTAAGCTTTTCGATATCTAGTTTGTTTTTAAGTGGATCTGACTGCTGGAGATGCTGCCCTGCGGTAGCAATGGGGGAGGCTTCTGCAGCAATGGGAGTGGCAGTCAGCACTGCAGAACAGCTTGTGTTAATGCCGCAGTGAAAGGGCGCTCACTGTCTTTGTGATGAATTGTTTAGCGTACTTGCTTTTTGCTTGTGTTGGGGAGGCGGAAGAGCCACGCTTCACTTTAGCACAGTGTGGAGGGTGCAGTGATCGGCTTGATATGATTTACGTTGTGTTTGGCAGTTATGTTTTTATAATTTGTGTCCATATCTATTTGCAACCATGTGTGATGTAGTGTTTGTCACCAGTTTGCGCATTTGAGGAATAAGTTCATTTAATTTTTGAGGTCCTAGATTACAGAATACTGCATTATTTTTAGGCAAAGACACCACAACATTTTGTGTACAGCAGTGACAAAAAAACTAATGTTCAACTCTCGATTTACTTTGAAGATCTTTGGTGTAATCCCTCCTGAACTAATTATGGTTTCCTGGGAAATTTTTCGTCTGATCTGAAAATGTGCATATCATTAAAGTAAATGCAAACTGACCTTATCCTGTCATGCCAGGCACAAACCTCCCTAATGGCTGTGTCAGGGTGACTTTGATCTTTAGAATGTAAATTATTGCTGCTGCATGAGCCAAGAGCAGTCACTTGGGAGCCAGTATTTTGGCTGTGCACATTTATTAATATAATTATAGCAATTGTAGGTTTTAACTTGCAAATAATGACATTTTATTTACAATGAAAACACTTCACACTGGAGAGAAACTGGCCGGTTAGTGACGCTGGACGTTGGAGATCAGTTCCAAATGCCCATCTCTCGCTTTGTAATGTTTTGATCAAAATCGAGGCTTTTAGCTCAAGGTTCTGGTGTTTAACTGTGAGTCACTCAAAAGATCAGTCCACTTTCCTGTAATTCAACTAGATAGAACTGTTCAAAATATATAGTCGAGGTATTAGTGTGGAGACTGATATGTTCCTGTGAATGAAGCAATTAGTCTGTAAGGTTCATAGCCACTGTGTGGCTCCATACATGTAGAATGGCTTCATAATGGGTTATTGTAATCGCAGCATAACCTTTAGTGTTTTCAGTAAAAATATCATTCCTATGTCCTGACATTAGAATCCATAATCTTGTAAATTTGTGGAATAATCCTTTGGGACTGTACTTATTATCCATATATAACCCAATCAGTATAATCCAAGATCATGTACCCAAACTTCACACTCTTTGTTTTCAGGAAATAACCATGGACTAGTTAAAGCTTTATTGCTTGATAAACAAAGCATGATGTTTTCTCATCTCAATTGAAAGTGAAATACTTCAGTTGCAATCATGGTAGTTTGTCTCTGGCTACAATTTGTATTTGTGAATTGGGATTTGAGATCTTGTGATTTCTTTCTCATGATATAAGAATTCTAATTATACAGTATATTCTAAATATTCTGACTGTAACAGAAGAGTACTTAGGAGTGACTCTTGATGCTGGTAACTGCTCAAAATTTGCTGCCAGTTGCCCCTTAACCCTCGTCATTGTGTTGCTTTGTAATGAGTCAATCCACTGCACTTGTTTGATGTGATGCTAAGAACAGAGAAATAATCCTATTTGAGAAGTTCAGTTGCAAAGCAGTAGAGCTCATCTGATGAGACTTGACTTGAGGAGTAGGTTTATGCCAGGATTGCAAGTTAAATGCAAGTTCAGTGTTGGGTTGAAAATTATACCTTACAATGGAGTTTTCAAATACTTTTATAATATACATTATTAGCATTGAAAAACCCTCACTGATTGTCACTGGTAAAGGTGGGAAATACAATCTTTATTCCTGGTCCAAATTACTCTATTGGTTCCAACCGTATAAATAAGGCTATAGTTAACATTAGTTATATATTTTTTTCTTTCCAGGATTCTTTTAATGTTCTAGGCAAGTTTTCCATCTGGTTACACAAGTTAGAATTTATGGAGCTGCGTGATTTGAAGTTTATACGTTCTGTGTATTCTCGAGTTCTTTGGGGTCCAGAATCGAATCACAGTTCTGTGTGGCTGTGTGGCTGTGGGCTACACTGTGTGGCTGTGGGCTACACTGTGTGGCTGTGGGCTACACTGTGTGGCTGTGGGCTACACTGTGTGGCTGTGGGCTACACTGTGTGGCTGTGGGCTACACTGAGTGGCTGTGGGCTACACTGAGTGGCTGTGGGCTACACTGTGTGGCTGTGGGCTACACTGTGTGGCTGTGGGCTACGCTGAGTGGCTGTGGACTACGCTGAGTGGCTGTGGGCTACGCTGAGTGGCTGTGGGCTACACTGTGTGGCTGTGGGCTACACTGTGTGGCTGTGGGCTACACTGAGTGGCTGTGGGCTACACTGAGTGGCTGTGGACTACTCTGTGTGTCTGTGGACTACACTGAGTGGCTGTGGGCTATATTGAGTGGCTGTGGGCTACACTGAGTGGCTGTGGGCTACACTGAGTGGCTGTGGGCTACACTGAGTGGCTGTGGGCTACACTGTGTGGCTGTGGGCTACATTGAGTGGCTGTGGGCTACACTGAGTGGCTGTGGACTACTCTGTGTGTCTGTGGACTACACTGAGTGGCTGTGGGCTACATTGAGTGGCTGTGGGCTACACTGAGTGGCTGTGGGCTACACTGAGTGGCTGTGGGCTACACTGTGTGGCTGTGGGCCACACTGTGTGGCTGTGGACTACACTGAGTGGCTGTGGGCTACACTGTGTGGCTGTGGACTACACTGAGTGGCTGTGGGCTACACTGAGTGGCTGTGGGCTACACTGAGTGGCTGTGGGCTACACTGAGTGGCTGTGGGCAACACTGTGTGGCTGTGGGCTACACTGTGTGGCAGTGGGCTACGCTGAGTGGCTGTGGACTACGCTGAGTGGCTGTGGGCTACGCTGAGTGGCTGTGGGCTACACTGTGTGGCTGTGGGCTACACTGTGTGGCTGTGGGCTACACTGAGTGGCTGTGGGCTACACTGAGTGGCTGTGGGCTACACTGAGTGGCTGTGGACTACTCTGTGTGGCTGTGGACTACACTGAGTGGCTGTGGGCTACAATGAGTGGCTGTGGGCTACACTGAGTGGCTGTGGGCTACACTGAGTGGCTGTGGGCTACACTGAGTGGCTGTGGGCTACACTGAGTGGCTGTGGGCTACACTGTGTGGCTGTGGGCTACACTGTGTGGCTGTGGGCTACACTGTGTGGCTGTGGGCTACACTGGGAGGCTGTGGGCTACACTGAGTGGCTGTGGGCTACAATGAGTGGCTGTGGGCTACACTGAGTGGCTGTGGGCTACACTGAGTGGCTGTGGGCTACACTGAGTGGCTGTGGGCTACACTGTGTGGCTGTGGGCTACACTGTGTGGCTGTGGGCTACACTGTGTGGCTGTGGGCTATACTGTGTGGCAGTGGGCTACACTGTGTGGCAGTGGGCTACACTGGGAGGCTGTGGGCTACACTGGGAGGCTGTGGGCTACACTGGGAGGCTGTGGGCTACACTGTGTGGCTGTGGGCTACGCTTTGTGGCTGTGGGCTACGCTTTGTGGCTGTGGGCTACGCTTTGTGGCTGTGGGCTATGCTTTGTGGCTGTGGGCTATGCTGTGTGGCTGTGGCAGCTCTTTAACATATTACACCATCTTGGAATGATTTACATTATTTTGGGAATTTGGGAAAATATTTAAATTTTATTGTTTAACATAAAAAAATCTTAATTGCAGTTTCCTGTCTTTTGATATGAAATTGTGTGCAGGCATCTAAACCTGAGTGTGAGACCGAAGCAGCTGTCTGCCCTGGTCCGCAGTGGTGTCCCTGAAGCCTTACGCGGGGAAGTTTGGCAGCTGCTGGCTGGATGTCACAATAATGACCAGATGGTGGAAGACTACAGGACGCTGATCACAAAAGTAAGTAACTCTGTGTTTAGGCAAATCCTATTCCCTAACAGTCTGTAGAATGGAAATGCATATTTTTGGCTGTGGCAGTCTTGTGGGTGTAGAAATATTAAAGTTGGCGCTTTATTTAGAAGTAAAAATTGTTTATTTGTGGAATATTTATATTTCCGTAAATTGTCTATCAAAAATTTAGACTTTTGGAAGCATGGTTAAATTTCAGCTTTATACTGTGAGTTCATTTGCTTACTAGTGTATTTAAAATGCCTATTAAATTACAAGTGTATAAATATATCTGTTATGACCGGTGGAAATGAAGGTGCTGATGTGAAGGGAAATGTGTCACACTGTGCTTAAACATTTACAGTCTGGCATCTGCAGTTAAACAAAGAGAATTCACTTCCTAGCTTCTCATTGTGTATTGCAGATAGTTTATTTTGGGAATGTCTGGATATATCCAGTACTCAGTGGCTATTGAAAAGATAAATGTATTCATGCAAGTATAAATTGGAAGTCCAAAAATAGGTTTAACATCTTTGATTAATACATTTATTGAAATTGAAATGCTCTAATGTTGATTATGAAACTGATTGTCTTCCGAGGTAGAAAAGGCATTTCAACAATGGCTCCTTCAAAGAAACATCTTTGTCATTGAAACTGCATAACATTATGATTTATTATAATTTTAAGTTATGGAGACTGTTTCAGTCCAGAAGAGAATTCAATTTCTGCAGTTTGGTTGTTTTTTGAGGGTATTTTACTGGTAAAGTAATTTTTGGGGGAGTGATGGTGAGAAGAATTGATTTAGTTAGATCAGGCGATATCACTACTGTAATACATTGAACCCATTTATACAATCTCTGCAAAGGTCTTCCCTCTTCTGCATTGTTATAGGTAATTTTCTAACCACATATTAGCATAAATGTAACAGGGATGTACTTCAGCTGTTGCTTGGTTACCCAATAGTTGTTAAATTGAGATCCATGAAAATCTATAACACTATTTGAAAAGGGAAGATTTCATGACAAATATTCTTCAAGACCAAATAGCCATTCACCTCTTGGCTCAGGGGCTTTGCTCTGCCCAAATGGTTATTGTTTGTTTATAAAAGTAATAAGTGCAAAGTGCTTTGAAATATTTCAATGTGAAGATGTACTGTAAAAATATGTTTTATTTTGTATTTTATGCCAGCCTTCAAAATACTCTTTGATTTATTATTATTATTGCCCACAAAATACACAGTCAATCCACTTTACAATATATCCTGTGAAGCGCTTTGAGACCTCTCAACAACATGATAAAGCGCTATATCAAATGCAAGGAATACTATTGTGATCTTATTTCTCTCAGAAAGGAAATGATATTCTGCCTGTACCTGATGATGCTTTAGAAAATCTGGGTGTGAGGAGTTTATTGACTACATGATCAATGTTTGAATCTTAAATCCGTCAAGAGTTAGAAGATTTTTGAATCATTTAGCTCTTACACTGCACCAGGCATTGTGAAAGGAGTTTTACCAACTCTCTCAGGAACTTTTGATGCTTTACTCCAAGGGTTGTGGCCCCTGGATAATTTAAACTGGAGCAGCTTCAGGATCTTAATAAACTTAAGATGTACATTACATTTAAAGATTACAAGGGATTGGGTTAGAGCAGCTAGCTTCAATGGGGAGGCTAGCACCAGCACAAACGTGAGATGAATGGCCTCCTTTTGTGCTATAAACATCCTATGATTCTTAAGATTTCAAAGGCAACTCGGAAAGGGTCAGAACTTGGTGTCAGATTCACAAGAGTTAGATGATGCAAAATATTTATCAGGTATTCTCCAGGGATCAGTGAGATGCAGGCGGCCTAGATACCTTGTCCTTTTTTTGTATTTGAGAATTTTTATGTGTCAAAAAGTGGCAACATAAATAACAAGCCAAGCTATTATTCCCTGATTTATGAGTAAATGTTCTGCTCTGTGGAGCTGACATTTGGGTTGGCATTGCAGTGTTTGCCAATTTGGGATTCTGTGAATGAGGCTGCCTCATAATTTGCCTCACAGCAGTTGTTTACTTAGTTTGAGGATGAAATATCTATTCTTATGTGTATTATAATGTGGTTCTGTTGATGTCATTGGAGATGTTTATTTCATATAATTATCCTCCCAGCTTTGCATTATTTTCTAAGCAAAAGTGTGATTTACTGGAAAGGATCACTATTGCTCCCCATAATCTTTCCACTTGTGGCAGAATTGTTTATTAAGACAGTTGGGTTTTAATAACTTTGCTTTATGTAATTTGGCACTAGCCAGTGTTTTAATTGTAGCTGCATATTTGTTTTTCATTTTAGCGTTAAAGAATATTTTTAATAGTCTCTAAGCACCAGAATGTGGATTATGAACAATGGAGCCAGATACAGAACTTCTCCAATGTGGCAATCAGCAGAAAGATTTGCAATAAACAAGTGAATGTAATTGTGTCCCTTGCTCCATGTTTACAGTTGGCTGTGAATGATCCCATAATGATAATCCTTTCGGATTATTTGTTATTACCTTTCGGGTGGGGGAGAGATGGTATTATTCACATTTTGTGCGTTGTAATTTCATTTTATATAGCGTCAATTTTAAACAATTTCCTGGCAGATTCTGATTATTTGCCAGTTGTTTCTTTTGGCTTCCATTGTGCCATTTTTCTCAATGCAAAAGCAATAAATATAATCATCTTTGTATTTGATACAGCGCCTTTCACGTTGGACATCTCAAAGTGCTTCATAGAATTCCCTGTCAAGTGTGTTTGTAGGTGGATTGAGGTTTTATATAACTGGGCTTCACTTGAATTGGCTGCTCATTGTTTGGGACTTTAGCTGCCACGTTTGTCTAGATAATAATGAAGCACATTTTGTGAAACACATCTCAAAATTTGATGTAAGTGCAAGTTGTATTTGTTTTTTACCCTGGTTAAAAAATACACAAGAAATTGTAATTTCTATGTTTACGTAGGTATACACATGTGGCATACGAAGAGTTAAGTCCGGCCCAGTGCACAGTTTTCTGACGATCTTGAAAAGAAAGTAATTTCTGCCATAGCAGGGAAGGTTGTGATGTGCTTGTTCAAGCTAACAATATTTGTTATCCACCAGCAGAGATCCAGATTCTCTCGAAAGAGTAGTTAATATAAAGCTGTATACTTAAACGAGCAATTTGTTATTAAGAAACCTTTAGAAGTTTGTTTAATCAGGGTCACTCAACTCAATTGTTGATCTTGATGACATTATTACAATAGTTTCTTCTACATTTGCCTCATGGAGTAAGAGCTTCCTAAGTGTAGGTCGATTGTATGGAGTCAGGTTGATATTATTGCTGCCCTCAGTTTCGCATGACCTCCAGTTTTTTGTTAAGTTGGTAACATTCAGTTGCTGATCAGACAGGCTCTGGCATTGATCTAATGAAGAAGGTCTCTCTTCTCTGCCATTTCACTGGGCCGTATTGTCACGTTCCTCTTTGAATCTGGAAAACATCTAGTTTCATTAATGTGTGATTTTGTGTTGTGGAGGTTGCCCTGTGTGTGTGTGTGTGTGTTTCTTATGAGTATGTATGTGTAAGATAATGTAGATGAATTGAACTTATATATTACCATTAAGAAAAGCTCAAAGCTTTCAGAAGAAAACGCTGATATGAATGGTTTGTTGTTGTGCACTGTCAGCTTGTGAAAAAGCCATCAGTTTTAATGATGAAAGCATTGGCATGGGTTTCACAATAGAAAGCAATTTTTAAATAAAATGTTTTCTTCCTTAAATTTAAAGAAAGCGGCGTCTAAAATCTTCTCATTGAGACCCCAAGGGTCTGTGAAGCCACCGAACTTCTGCAGCCTTCTGTAGAGAAGCCATAAGATGGCCTGTAAAGGCAATGGTTGATCCACACTTAAAGGAGTTGGTCCTCTGAGGTTGGAGTTACAGGATAACAGCAATGTGTACTAATGTTGCCTCCGTGACTTAGTACAGCAACAACTTGCACTTATATAACACCTTCCACCCAGGGTAGCATCTCAGAGCGCTTAACAGTGGCGGAGCCTGACTCCGAGCCGGTGGGGGGGGGGGGAGGGGGTTCTAAGCACGGTCGAAGAGGAAGGTTTTCAGGCAGGACTTGAATCAGGGGAGAGATGGGGCAAGGCAGAGGGATTGAGGGAGAATGTTCCAGAGTTTCAGGGCGTAATGGCTGAAAGCGTGACCTCCGATAGTGGGGTGGAGGGTGTGAGGGACGAGCAGGAGGCCGGTGCCAGTCGAGTGGAGGCACCAGGTGGTGGATTGAGGAGTGAGGAGGTCGGAGAGGGAGGGAGGAGTGAATGGATTTGAGCACGAGGATCTTGAAGTTGATCCATTCGGTGATGGGGAGCCAGTGGAGCCTGGGTCAGAACTGGTGAGATGGGGATACAGAGTTTGGTCCGGGTCAGTATGCGGGCGGCAGAGTCTGAATGAAAGTTCTGAGAAGGGCAGCAAATTTAATGATCATTTTCTTTTGGTCAGCCGGGTGTCTGACACATGCGGAAACCCATCACCGTGCTTAAGAGTATCCAAACCAAACTAAGAATTCAGTGCATCCCACCTTCACATGGAAATCCCAGAGATAGATTGTTGGAATGAAATGCACACTCCCTGGACGGACACACCCTGATTACCTAATTCCGGAGAGTATTAGGCTTAGGTAGGCAAGAGCCAAGGCTTGGGGTGACTCTGGTGTGCGTTGGGGTACTGTTGGAGTCTAATCGGCTAAAACCACATAGCTTACCATTGATATCACTGGCAAGCTTTCCGGCTGCTTGTCCAGCTAGGACCACCCTATCCGTTAGGGTTTGGCTTGCAGGGTTAACAGAAGATGAGTGGGATGACTCTCGGGTTACTATCCAATGGTCTCGGAGCAGAAATGTATTTTTTTTAATCCTAAGGCCATCACCATCCTTCCAGTGGTGACCACTCATTACTTTATCACTTTTGTAGCTTTATTACTTCAATATTAGTACAAGCTGTTGCTGTAATGTTATTCCAAGCTCACTAATGTGCTGTGTGCTCAGGGCTGGAAATCTTAGTCTATTTTGCATGAATTGCACTATGATTGAAATGATACTTGCTTTATTCACCAGTTTAGAGTTTTGTAGGATCCATGTTTCCTTGAAGCTGTTACTGAAATGTGTTCTTTTTGAACTAGTTTTGTAGTAGTTGAATGTATATTAATTATTCAGTAGTAATGCACATCTCAAACGTTAAGATTAATAGTGTAGATCAATGGGAAATGGAAGTGTATAATGTGTATTACTGGAATGTATATTTTTGGGAAAGGATTGGGGAGAAATAGTTATTTAGTCAACTGGACAGAAGGTTTATATTAAGTTCAACAAAGCTATTGTCATTCAGGAATGGTGGTATGTTGGCAGATTGATATGGAGATTGGGCTCATTTGGTTCCTTTTAGAACCATATTGAGATAAATACCTGTGTTGATTTTGTCAAACAATTTTTTAATCTGTCTATACACTCAAAGCATCAAAAGGATAAGTGGATTGAGTCAAACTTGTTAATTGCATTGTCAAAATATCAAAATTCAATTTGATTTACAAGTTTGAGATTTCAGATTCCTTTGTTGGATCCTATGTACCTTCAGCCCCAGTCAACGTAGGATACCATACCTGAGGGTGTCATGTATCCTGACAATTGTTCATGGACGAGTTGAGACATTGAAAGCAAAACTGGTAGTTTATCAAGGTCATTTCAACCTCAAAGACTTGTTACCACATTGGAAGTCTTTAATATCTTTTATGTTACTAAAAATAAATTGGTCACTCAATCCACGGCTGTTTGTGGGACACTGCTGTGCACAAATGGCTTCCGCGTTTCGTCCACAAAATACACAATCCACTTTACAGTATAATCTGTGAAGCGCTTTGTGACGTCTGAATGACGTGATAAGGTGGTATGTCAAATTATATAAATTATTATAAATAAACATAAACTTGTTTTACGGTATTCTATTGTTTTACCAGCATCAAGTACCACTGTATACTGTCAGACAGCTTTCTACTTGAATCATGTGATTTGAGCTGCACAGATATGTTTTACTGCAGGAACTGGCACATATGTATTGTACAGTGTGTACAACAGTGTGTAACAGTTTATTTTGTGAATGTCAATACAGTACTCCATAATTCATGGTTTTGTAGGAATATGTTTAAAGTGAACTTAAGCAGCATTAACTCGATGCAGCACTACTATCATTCAGTGTTCTGTCTACTTGATCAACTTAAACTGGTTACATTCTGACCCAGAGAGGGATGTTGTTTTTTCAATCTGTCAAATATATTTAAATAGCAATGAAAAAAGGAAGACTCATTGAGAACAGTTCTAATAATCTTTGCATTTGATATTGACCTCATCATCACGTTGCCAAAACAATGCTGGATCCATTGAAATTTTCAAGACTGAGGTGGATAGATGTTTATTAGGTCAGGGTATCAAGCGATATGGAACAAGTGGTGGTAATTGAGGTACAGATCAACCATGATCTTATAGAATGGCGGAACAGGTTCGCGGGGCTGAATGGCCTCCTCCTGTTCCTATATTCCTATATTCCTAAACACTTCACAGGATGGTGATGGCATAATGCCCGAGTTACCTGGTTGGCAAGTCACCCAGCTCCTCTTCCTACCTCTATGAGGGATTCTTACAAGTTCTTTAAAATCATTCATGAAATAAACTGCCCGAAGCTTATATTTGTGTCTTGAAGTCAGTACTATTTTGGTCATATACTCCCACTGTAAATAAATAAACAAACAAAATCACTTTTTTTGGGTCAGCCGTGTGTCTGACACTTGCTTAACAGTATCCAAACCAACCTGACAATTCCATGCATCCCACCTACACTTGGAAATTCCAGAGATAGATTGTTAGAATGGAATGCACACTCTGTCTCTTCTCGGAAGGAACACATCCTGCTTATCAATTTCCAGAGAGTATTTAGGCGCAGGTTGACAAGAGCCAAGGCTTGGGCACCCCAAAGTCCTGCTGGGCTGTGCTCTCATCAGCAGTGAGTCCCCTGGAATACTGTGGACCGGTCTGGCTCAGGAACCGGACTAGAGACCGGCACAAAGAGCCGGCTCGATTCCCACATTCCATTGCCAAACATGTCAACTTGGAGCCAGTTCAGCTCCAAGGAGACCCCGCTTACCTCCTCCCCCCACCCACCCGATCATCAAGCTTCTGATGTATAATTTACAAGGAGCCCAATACATCAATTCACAAATGATCAATCAACATCTTAAGTTACCTCCTTGTGCTGTGTGTGTATGTGTGTGTGGTGTGGTGTGTGTGTGTATCTGATGTGTGTGTGGTGTGTGTGTTGGGTGTGTGTGAGGTGTGTGTGTACGGTGTGCTACAGTTCAGCTTGCAAGTGTAAATTAAAATGGTTGATAATGCAAACCTACTAAGGTGAACCCCTTCCACCCCCCCCACCACCACTGTTTAGCTCTCGTCATGTGCTGGAATTTCAGTGAAATGCACTGTGCTGCTGCGCGGTATGCCTGTCTCTCAGGCGGGTCAGAATGTACCTGGCAACAGCTGCTCCAAGTGATAGATTGTTCGGGTTCTAATACATTACGTTTTCATATACGGGAGGTGATGGATAGAGCTCCACAAGAGGCTATTGCAGCTTGAAGCGCAAGAGAGCAGAGGATCTGTACTGCTGCATTTGCCCTCTGGTGTAGTCATGGATAGATTCCTTTGCCAGAGGATTGTGAGGGGAGGAGGAGTGATGCCTGGAGGCCGTTTCAAATCTGCGGCAAATTGAGCTGTGATTGTGGAGAAGCATCATATTGCGGTCCTGTGATCTCAAGCTCCAGTCTGGACACTTTCGCCTGTGTGTTGGTTTAAAAAACAGCTCACTGAAAGAAGGCAGGGAGGCTGTTTTTACATTGTGAGGCTTTTGTTTTTAAATCCATCTCCTTTTCGCAAATGCAGAATTACTGAGAGGACGAAAATTAGCTTTGTTTCCACAAAAGCTTTTTGTCTGGTGTCACAGTGACTCGACTAAGCCACATGTGAGGAGCACTTGAACCATAGCTCTGGAGGTTGATGAAGCAGAAAATATGCGTATATATTTACTTCAACAGAAGAAAGACAGGTGCCATGTCCCTCTGTTTTGTCTCTTAAGTCTATTCATTCCGGCTTCAGCCTCCATTGCTTAAGGAGCTGAAAGCAATGGCTACTGCTGGGAATAAGCTTTATTATGGTATAGCACCGACCCCGGTGGTGACTGTTTGCTGGGTTTCTAGGCAATGCAGCCAGTACTGAGAGCCGTGGTCTACATTCTAACAGTGAATGAGTTGAGCAGAAGGTTTTGACTGTGTAACAGCAAATCTAGTCAACAATGACCTCTGTTTGGACCGTGCAGAACAGAAGTCTGAACTATTTCTTGGAAGGAAACAATAGCAGCCGTCCATTCTGTCTCTTTGGATTCAGCTACTACGAAACTGTTAACATTTGCCTCCTGGAAGTTATCATCATTGTTTTTCTCACTGTCTTAATCATTTCAGGTAACCTTATAGTTATTTTTGTGTTTCACTGTGCTCCTCTCCTGAACCATCACACAACAAGTTATTTTATTCAGACCATGGCATATGCTGATCTCTTTGTTGGAGTGAGCTGCTTGATTCCTTCTTTGTCGCTTCTTAACTATCTTACAGGTTTCCAGGAATCTTTAACATGCACAATTTTTGGATATATTGTCTCTGTTCTGAAAAGTGTCTCAATGACCTCTCTGGCCTGCATCAGTGTTGATCGATACATAGCAATTACCAAACCGTTATCGTACAATCAGCTGGTTACACCGTGGAGGTTGCGTGCCTGCATTATAATCATCTGGATCTATTCCTGCCTTGTGTTCCTTCCTTGTTTTTTTGGCTGGGGGAAGCCAGGCTATCATGGGGACATTTTTGAGTGGTGTGCGAATTCCTGGAATACAACTGCTTCCTTTGCAGGGTTTATTGTGGTCTTGCTGTACGCCCCGGCTGCCTTTGTAGTCTGCTTCACCTATTTCAACATTTTCAGAATATGCCAACAACACACTAAAGAAATCAGTGATAGACGTGCTCGTTTCAGTTCGCCAGAAGGGGAATCGACAGAGAATCCACCTTACTCTGAGAAGCATTACGCTATGGTTTTATTTCGGATCACCAGTGTATTTTACATCTTGTGGCTTCCGTACATCATTTATTTCCTTCTGGAAAGTTCTCGCACATACAACAGTGCGGTGATCTCTTTTCTGACGACCTGGCTTGCCATTAGCAACAGCTTCTGCAACTGTGTCATTTACAGCCTCTCCAACAGTGTCTTCCGCAAAGGGCTGAGGCGTCTATCGGGTGCAGTCTGCGCTGTGTGCATCTGGCATGTGGAGGGCAAAACTCCTTCAGCCCCTGGAAGTAAAAGATCTTCTAATGGCTGCAATGCTTGAAAAGCACAAGAGGTGGTTTGCCTATTGCGTCTCTTCAGCCACAATGTGATTTTTGAATCGTTACTAAAGTGTCTGCCCATCGTTACTGATCTCCACTGCTGAGCGAGCCTCTCTATTGGATGACTTTTGTGGGTTAATATTTTTCCACCCGGGTTATGGCACTTTACAAGGCACTGTTTTTGTTGAAAAAAAATGTAACTTGAAAGCTTGTGTGCAGGCCAAATATCTAATTGCTTATTACAGTGCACAGGGACGCTTTAGAGAAACGATGCTCAGTCACATTGTCAATGGGATTATTGTTCATTGGGATTAGTTATAAACTGTAAATGCAACAAAACCATATAATAACCATGGATAAGCATCTTAGGCCTAGAGAGACCGACTGTTTACACTGAGCCCATTTTAGCATGCAATGTATTAGGGGCAGTTTGTATTCTTGAGTCTCCTCAAAGGTAACAGGGGTTTTTGTTAGATATTCTTAGCACAAAAAAATTCTGATGCCAAACTCATTCAGAACCGAAATATATGATAACCTATTTTCTATTTGGAATTGCCTGCGAGAGTAGATTGAGTGACAGGTCGAAAGCTTTCGCTGTTTGTTTAGAGCGATTGACTGCCTTCTATTTACATTATATGAAATGTGCAAAGCAACGGATTAGGTATTCTAAACCAAGAAATGTTGAGGAATATTGCTCCAGGCTGTAGTCTTTGCATTCCTGTTTGTTTCCCCACAGAGACTGATTGTAATTTCTTGTCCAAATGCAGAGAATAGTAACTGAGGCTTAAAAGGTGATCCTTTATAAAATGAAATGTTTTGAAATGGAAGAGTTTGGTGTCTTTATATTTTAATAGGTATTTACTTGTGTACTGAAATCTCGAGTTTGGGTTGAAATAACTATTGCTTAACCAAATGAAAAGTGTGAGATGGCATGATGCATTGTGACTGAATTAAATTAGTGTATACAGTGTTGGTGAAGCTTTAAAGTTGCATTTTCCAATTAAAATACATCAAAGTCTCCAAAAAGAGTTCTCTGTTGGTTGACCACTTGTACGTACTCTTTAGACCAATGAGCAAAATGCAAGCATCTTATTTTATCCTCTGACTCCAGCAGAAATGTCTTTTTACAAAAGCAACATTGTGTTTTTGGATCCTGTGCCATATTTTAGGTTTCATCTTTTAAAGTAGTCACTGCCACACTGCAAATAGTGCTTCACTCCAGCCCCCTGGGGTCTGTGAAATGGGGGCCACTTCTCTCAAAATGGCCGTGAGGCCTGGCCTGGCCGATCAGCACTAATTAAGAATGAAAGTGAAATTCTGTTCTCACTGACAATCACCCAGTGTGTTGTGTTTGGAGCTGTAGCATTTATTGATCTCAGACTCGTGTACAGCAATGCAATTCTAAAAGTCACACAGAGGTGTCGAGACTGGACCCATAGAAATCAGGTTACTTTGATGTCTCCCTACACCATGGACTTCCATTATTGCTTCTCATGCTTTTCCTTATCAGTCACTTTTTATGTGCAGAATCTTTCTGATCATCCTTATGTTCAGGGTGAATTTTGGCTATAACTGTGTGTAGGTTTATATTCAGCTTTGAAAAGAATATTATGGGGGAAAATATATCTCAAAATGTAGTTAGCTTTTATATTTTCTAAGTGTGAGTGTGTGTGTGCATGAATGTGTGCACACGCATATTACACATTTTTGACTGGTGACGTTATTTGACAGGTCTCTATGCCCATGCACAATCATTATATTGTAAAACTGTGGTATCTTTGGATTTTAAGGCAATACATTCAGGATGAAGTCTCTTTAGGATTGCTTGAGTGTGTGAGTGTGTTCAGACTCAGACTGAAAACATGATTGTTTTGCAGTGAAATGGTGCATTGTACCCTGGGTTTCCTGAGGTGTGATCTAGTGTGTATATTGTGCGTGTGTATGTGTGCGAGTGTGTGTGTATATTGTGTGTGTGAATATTGTGAGTGTGTGTGTATATTGTATGTATATTGTGAGAGTGTGTGTATATATTGTGTGTGTGTGTGTGTGTATTGTGAATGTGTGTGTGTGTATTGTGTGTGAGTATGTGTGTGTGTATTGTGTGTGTGTGTGTATTTTGTGAGTATGTGTGTGTTGAATTAATTAAAATATCCCGCAGGCTGAAATTCAGAATTTTTTTATTATCTCGATGAATACAGTAAGACTTTAATGAGGTGGTCTTATACAGAATGTATCTTATTCTGTGAAACGTGTGGTTTGTCTCATATCTGGTTCATTGACAATTATTAATTTCCTATTATTCAGGATTCATTTAATTTATTATGACGGCTGAACATTGGTAAAATCTGTAATTTCACCATTCTATCATTGAGTTTCACAGAGTGTAGTGTAAATTGCTAGTTTCACTACTTGACAGTAGCTTTCTGAACAGAATACTTGATCTGCACTGAAATCTCTCTTCATTCGCTCTCTCTGCCTACTTCTATGGTTACTGAAATGGATTGATTTTTTTATCCCCTGTACAAAATATGCATTTTTTATGTACACTTTCACACAGCTGATTAATGTATGAAATATTTAAAATCAGAAATATTAAATGCCAAGGTTTTGACAAATGACTGCTGAAATCACAGTGCGATTAAACTGTTCTCAACATTGTATGCAAGGCTGTCCTGTCTGGTGTAGAATTTTCTCAATCCACCATTTTTAATGTTTTTCTGTTGGATACTTTTATTTATAAACTTTTTTTTAGCAAAGCCTGGTTGTGTTTGAGATGATTGTATTTGAGGTTGGATTTAATTGAACATTTACACATTAATCAAATCTGGTCTTGCTTGGCTATCAGTTTGTTCAGCTGAATAGGAAACTTTTTTGGAATAAATGTTTTATTTTACTCTGAAGACTAAAGTAGAACTGACTTGTATCTATTTTCCTATTTGCTTCAATCTGTTGCTGGATTGCAATTGATACCTTTCAGAAATGCCCTGAATACATTGGTTGTGGTAACCTCAAGTGAGTACAGAGGAAGAAAGAGATTGTATGGCAATGTTTTGCTATTTGGGTATGGTCCAAGTGCACGGGATATTTATTACTCAGTACTTATTGTAGCCCAAGCTTATTACTTACAATGAAATACAATCAAGCTTAAGACTTCACTTACAATAAAATATGTCTTCACCAATTGGGAAAAATCTCTTAGGCTACTATACGTTTTAGAATTTTGTGCCATTTTGATCAGATTTTCTGTGTATGTCTATATAATCTCTTTCTCTTTCTTTCATAAATTCTGAACTTCTTCATTTATATTCTCTGAACATCACCCATTCTCCCTGTCAGTGAACATTTTTTTTACCAGTTTGCTGTTTTCTGATCTGTTCTTTTCCAGCAGTTCCTGTTGTATTACATCCAATATGTTATGGTGAAAGTTTACTTTGAAATTTACCAATTGACACGGCTGGTTTGGGGATGTGATGGGGGTTTACCTCCTGCACACACTGGTCGTGGGCTGGAAAAATTATTCCCCGTTTTAAGATTTCTTTGTTGAAATTGAATACCCTGAATTTCAAATTAATTGGCTCTTCATTAAGGGATGTTGCTGACAGCAGATTAGATGCTGCTTTTACCTGAATAACATTCAATTCATTTCTAATCAATTTATTTTGTATGAACCTTTGACATGTTTTCTTTGTGAAAGGTGCTATATAAACAAGTTGATGAATGCCATGGATCCTTCTCAAGTCTTTTTAGTGATGGATACCCACATGATCTACCAAGAACAGATGAATTTGTTGCAATTAATGGCTGTTTCTTGTTCATTTATGTTCATAATGCTTGCATTATCTACTGATGTAGCGTGACTTGCAGAAGGGTGATGTATGTTCAAAATTTAATGAGAGCTCATTGGAGTTGTCTCCTTAACTGGAATGACTTCCAGGAACACAATTGTCAAAGCTCAAGGAGATATGTGACAGTATAGCTTTCCCTTCCCCCATTTGTCTATGGGAAATTGTCTCAGGGGCTTTAATAACTTGGGTAAGATTGGAAAATTTAACGAGGTGGGAAGTGCAGACAAAACAGAATTAAATTCAATACACTTAACTCATCCCTTGAATGCCTCTTTGCCAACATATAAATGGAGCTGGAATAATCCTCTTTTACCCAAAATGTAATTAAATGAAGTAACCTCAAGTGCTACAGCACAAATTAATATATTAACAAATAAATACTTTTTTTTAAAAAGGCTGACCAAATGAGCCAAAAAACTAATTTATCTGCTTGTGAACACTTCCATCAGTACGAGTCTTGTCTGAATCAGAAGATGGTCAGTTCAAGCCCCACGTCGGGACATGAACTCACACACTATAGTCTAGGCTGACAATCCAAAGTAGTGCTGGGGGGTGGTGTTGTATTGTCGGAGATGCTGTCCTTCAGATGAGACATTAAACCAAGCTCCCAACTGCCTGTTTAGGTGGATCTTAAAAATCTTGTGGCACTATTTGTGCAGAGAAGGGTGCTCTGGCCAACAATCCCCCAAATAAAATTGGTCACTCATTTCATGATGTTTGTGGGACACTGCTGTGCATAGTTGGGCTCCTGCATTTGCCTACAAGTACAGTCACTCCATTTCACAGTAAAAAAGAATATGTGAAGCACTTTGGGACACATCTTCCCAATGTGAAAGGCAATATATCAAATGAAAGTATGATTATTATTTTTTATGTATATAGAATATGCTAATTTTCAGTACAGTTTTTAGCTGCCCCCCACCACCCATCCCTGTATATCTTAATAATCTCAGATTTTGATTCCTGATCCTCTATTTTTGAGAATTATTCCAGCTCCATTGATCAACGCTGTTGAAATCTGTTTGAAATGCCTGTTCCGTCTGTATGATAGAAAACTTTTTATTAAGTAAGTGGACATCAACTTTTAATGTTAATTTCAAAATGCTCTGTTACTGAGAACTGTACAGATATGTGTACTAAAATTACTTTTGAGTTGA